GGATATAGGTCAGCCTTAGCATCGGTATTACAACACGATGACCTATCTATAGGTACACACCCTGTACTAAATCGGCTAATGAAGTCCTTTGCTCTGGAAGACATCAAAGTACCTCGTACTTTCCCTAAATGGGATCTATCCATAGTATTATCAGTATTAATGAAAGCACCATATGAACCCATGAGCAGTGCAGGGGGTTTGAAGATTTCAGAAGTATCTCATGAACTCAGGGTAAGTTGACCTTTGTTACTATGCGAAGCTCAGGGCAGGCAACACTGAAATCATAGATCGTAGGATTAAGTGATATACGGTATCCAAATATGATTGCTATCACCAGAAGTGACGTCATAGGAGAAAACCCACCGGTCTTACGTCAGGATACGTTAATATCACTATCCAAAAAGGGAATAACGGTAAATTACGTCATTGTGATACGTTGGTTGGTTGGTTGGTTTGTTGTTTAACGCCGCACTCAGCAATATTCCAGCTATATGACGGCGGTCTGTAAATAATCGAGTCTGGACCAGGCAATCCAGTGATTAATATCATGAGCATCGATCCACGCAATTGGGATCGATGACATGCATCAACCAAGTCAGCGAGCCTGACCACCCGATCCCGTTAGTCGCCTTTTACGACAAGCATAGTCACCCTTTACGGCAAGCATGGGTTGCTGCAGACCTATTCTACCCCGGAATCTTCACGGGTCCATTGTGATACGAGAATGGCAGACACATACCAAAAGAACTAGGTATGACACCGGAAGTGACGTCACAGATGACGTCATCAACGGAAGTGACGTCACAGATGACGTCATCACAGGGAATGACGTCATTATATGTCTAAGTATCACAAGGGAGTATATATTTATACCCTTCATATGACGAAATTTGAAAATTATATATGTCTAGTCTTGTAAAGAAGACCATTAGACACAGCCATTTACCCCTTTTTGGCATATAATCCTTAAGTTTTACCACTTCACTAGCCTAATATCTAAGGGATGCTAGATACCAGAACCCACCGGTCCCTCTGGTATATACTGGCAATGATGTGATAGAGGTGTAGTATTTTCCAAGAATTATCAAACAATAGTTATGATTGTGAATAATTCTAAGAAATACCACATCTATCACATCAGGAATAATCCCTCCCACCTCCCCAAATATCTGCATCTAGTTGGTGAGAGCAATGGATTGAAAAGAAGTGACTAGATTCCCGCTTTGCGCATGCGCCGTGGCGTCCATGGCAAGTGATAGGGTTTTCCTCACAACTATGGATATGTTGGCAGTGTAGTGGACGTCTGTTGAAAATTTATAAAAAATTATAGTGTGGTTCTCAGCATAAACAGGAATTTATGGCAATGATGTGATAGAGGTGGTATTTCTTAGAATTATTCACAATGATAACTATTGTTTGATTTTTGTCAAAAAAGTCACAAAATCTCATGAATGAAATTTTCCATGAGAAATCACAAAATCTTCAGGACTGGTATAGATAATGGGGGTTCTGGCTCACTTCCACTGGAGCCAGATTTATATACCTATACCACGACTACAGAGGGATTTTTTATGCAAAAACGCTGATGTGACCATTTGTTATTCCTGGGAGTGTAACATACATATTAAATATACAAAGACCCTATCTCATAACTTACATATGAAATCAACTTACATTACTAATCAGTCGATTTTAGTAAGTGCCTCTGGTGCTATTTGTTGTTGTTGAATTCCCCGATATCTTTGAATAATATAGGGTCACGGCAACTAGCGATAAAATGGTGCACAATAGGTTCCACAATCCAATGCAATTTTGGCAGAACCAGTTAAACTTTGCCATATGGTGTGCCACAACAGGATGTGGTGCATCTCTTTATGCCCCAGGATTTGAACTAAATAAGTCTGTTTTATCATTTCACTTGTACTATCAGATTTAGACGTATACTTAAAGAAATTAGTGTCCCATTACCGCAGGATCGAACATGGAATTCCTCATAGGTGGGCATTCGAACGTATTTGTCAGGAATTTAATGTTTCTACAAGTAAAGATTGGCGTCTGAGTGGAGTTAACCACGGTCTAGGTATTCCGTACGCTGGTGCACACTCTGTTAAAAAAGTCAGCGATGATTTACTGAAAAGAGGTCGGCTTCTTCCGAGCTTTGCTCTCTCAAGTAACGAGTGGAGAGACGATCGTATGAACTTTAAGGGTGGTGTTACTTTCACCGTCTGGAAATGCTTGGAATGAATATCTTAATGATAAAAGAGAAAATAATTTTACTAACCCAGGAGTTGTAAGAGTTAATGAATCAATAAGAACTTATGTATGGGCAAATCTTGGTGCACAATCGCAAACACGAACGGGAATAATCGGTTCTGGGACGGCTCTCGATGCGCAAAAACAGTTTGTTGCAAACGTGGAGGATGCTATTATTCACCAGTTGACATACCATCTTCTATAAAACGTTATCAAGATGTATTACAGTACGCTCAATCCAAAGTAGACTACGTTTATGCGCCGGGATTATACATGTCTCCGAGTAATATTGAACTTAAGATCGGTCAAGTGATCGGTTATAATAATAAAATTGTTATTGCTTCCGATCAGCAAAAATCAGGTATAAATTCAGATATTAACACCGAATTAATTACACAAACAAACACAGGCGAAACGGGAATAGTCAAGCCACAGTCACCACATGTTTCACAACCATCTACTGACGCACAACCACAAGTGCCACCACACATTGCAGCTAAAAATCAACACCATATCGATGAAAAAACAGCGCTTATAGTAGGTGGAGTCGCGGCTGGTTTCCCATGATTTGGATAAATAGTCTTTAACGGATACATACAACAGCCCAGCAATTGCTACGATCAGTTTTGACTAAGCCAAGTGGTGGTCTTAGCTAATAAATTCAATAGCCAGGAAACAATACTCCCTATTATACCGGCAAGTGCAAATGCGGCTTTCCCAGCGGGGGCGGTCGGGTAGCCTAGTGCTTAAAGCATTCGCTCGTCAAGCCGAAGACCCGGGTTCGATTCCCGACATGGGTACAATGTGTGAAGCCCATTTCTGGTGTCCCCCGCCGTGATATTGCTGGAATATTGCTAAAAGCGGCGTAAAACCATACTCACTCACCCACTCACTTGCCCAGTGCTTCTCCAAATGCTTTTAAATGCTTTTTTATCCACTCTTTTACGCCACCCCTATCACTAGGCGTTGTGCCACTTCCTGTACCGCCTGTACCACCGGTTAACGCGAGAGTCAAAGTCGATATAATAAATCCCAATGCGGTTAAAATACTGGCAATGGTTATCCCCTGTTCTCTGAACAATGTTTTAATTTTATCAGCCAGTGTAGTATCATCGTTGAGAACTTGATCGATAGTTTCTCGAATTCGACTGATTTGTGAACGAAGTGCCTTTCTATTACTCGAAGCAGCTTCGAGGCGGGCCGATCTTTCATCTTCTAAGTTACGCAATCTTTCAGCAACGCGGCGCCTATACTGAATTCATCACCCGCCTGTTCAAGTTTTGTTTTCTCATAAGCTATATGCTTGTCGAGTTCAGATAGCTTGGCTATATTATTGATGAGTTCTCTCCACATTGTTTGCATTGCCTTGTCAAGGCCTCGTAATTCCCTTATATTGTACTCCGAGTATGGTGATACCTGTAACGTGGAATTATCGTAGTAGGTATCCAAGATTTCTCCGAGTCCGTCTGAGGCCAGCTTCGAGCTTTCTTCCAAATTATCCTTATCTATTGTACCGAGTTCAGTACGCACAGTCCGAAGAACCTTAGTAGTCTTCGCAGAAAGTTTTTCTCGTGAGTAGTCTACAAAACCTTATTCATTACGAACAATGTTGATGCCGTGTTTACTAGCTATCGTAGACAAGGCTAGGGGCTTACGAGTACGAGAATTCATAAGATCAATATCCGGAGAGCCACTCAGTCGCAATATTCCTTTACTATCTATCGTAAACTTTACTATCTATCCTAAACTAATATTGACCTATAGGTGTTTCTTTTTAGGCATCGTAATAATCATTAACGGCTGGTTTCAAAAGTTCATCGTTAAGATTCGTAAAGCTCTTTTCATCAGTACCCTCTTCGATTGTACTAGAATCAGTTATGTTATCTAGATTAATATCATCCATAATTCCTGCGAATACCTTACCTCTATTACATCATAGCCACAATTCCCATTTTGGCAATAATCACACTATAAAATCTTTAGATTTTTTCCAACAGACGTCCTCTTCACTGCCAATTACCCCCTAGTTTTGAGGTAAACCCTATCCCTTGTCAAATTGCATCTGCGCATGCGCAAGGCGGGAAAACATCACTTCTTTCCCGTGTGTGTTGGACCAACAAGCAAAAATTTTGCTCATCAATCCAAACACGTATTAGTTAAAAATTCACAGCTAGTTCAAGATCTAATAAACTAATGTCCAAAAGAAACGATACGGTGTCCTCCCATTAGTTAGACGTCCCAATAGTTAGACAGCTTATATCAACACTTTAAACGGTTGAGTGCACACTAATCCTTATGCTTGTTACCTCTGACTTTAAAATGGAATAGTCCAGATAAGATCTGACAAACAAAGCAAAGCAGCTTTAAATAGATACTTTAATATTACACTTAACATTTAATGACACTTTACATTTGATAAATTTTATAGAGTTTGTAACAACACTTTGTGACAGTTTTTGGTAATGTACACTTTACATTTAATAACTTTAACAGTTTATTTATCCCAGACGAAGCAAGTGTCCACAAGCATCTAAATACTCAATAGCCGACTTGTCACCCTGCTGCAGCTGATCTTTGAGCCGTACCAGGCGGTTCACTGTTTCTCTGTAGATTCTCTTGCGGCAGCGTGGCGCCGCACCAAAGTTCAATTGCATCACCTTAGTCCTATCACTGTGGAATCCCTCAAGGTTGTTGTTGGTTCTGGGTCCATCAGTTTGGGAATCGGGCGTCATCATCCACCCAGGTTCTCACAATGTAGCTCTAGGCACATCTGGTGTCAACTCCATAGCTTGAACCCACGCATCCTGAACAAAGGGAATGGGCAGCAGAGATAGCCCAGCTGCTCGTCGAATCCACTGGGTCACACGGGGGTACTCCTTATACATGACTGCAAGTGCAAGATTTTGAGTCTTTCTCCAAATAGCCTGGGTGAAATGAAAAAAACATCCCTTGATCACTGCTTGCGGAAACTCTGTCTCGATCGTGCCGACAACGGCTTGTTCAAAGTCGATCTGTATCTTGCTAGGTGACAGAGGTCTGTTGAGTCGCTCTTGAACTTCTGTCTTCAGTTGTCGAAAAAGCCGGCCATAGGTTGTTGTTTGACGATCTGGCATGATGTATACTTACAAACATTGCTGACAAAGTTCACTCTGGTTTCATCTTCAGGCGGATGGTTATGTTCCGACTGATTGCGAAGAAAGTCACCGACAGTCGTACATTTCCCATTGCACGTCTTGACGACACATCTCCAATGTGTGCAGGTTTGCCTCCTGCGGTTTCTGTTGTAAATATATCCATCTAATATCAACTGCTTCCTTCCACGCCGAGAGGTGATGTACTCTTCTTTCCTTAAACCAGCCATATCGATACTGATAATGATATGTACCCCAAGATCATTTTCATTTGTTTGATGAGTAGATAATCTAAACTCAACACCTTTAACTGATCATACAGTAAGACAATTAAGCTACTCCATAGTTTACATAGTTAATCTCATGCCTATTGAACCTGTGCTGAGAGTAAGGTAATTTAGGTTAATTAAACAAAATTGTAACATATATACTCCCTAAACTGTGAGTCACCTATCCCTACTCAGTACTTTAATCTAATTAGGACTGATCCATTACACCTGTAGGTATATTCCTTCTTTGCCTAAATAAAAATGTCTAACAATTGGGACGTCTAACTAATGGGACGTCTAACTAATGGGATATAACCAACGATACCACGTGTTTGAAAGGACATTACGAAAAAACTAAACGATACAGACATTTCAAATTGGTATATGACTTGTGAGTAATGTTTTCACAGTATGTGTACAAACATTCTTTGTAATCAATCCTTTACAATCATGAGGACAGACATGTAAAGACGCGGGGGGTCCAAAATGAAAATTTCATTTGAACACAGTTGATGAGTCAAGTGTGGAAAATGTCACAACACACGTCTCAAAGTCACGTTAGTACCGGGTATGTCCACCGTGAGCGTCAATACACGCTAGTACACGTCTACGGGCTGATGACGTCAGACGTCTGATGACGTTGGTGGGGATGCGTTGCCATTCATGGAGGAGGCATTGTTCTAATTCCTGGAGGTTAACTGGAGGCACAGGGCGATTCCTGACTTTGCGGCCGAGAATGTCCCACATGTGTTCGATTGGGTTCATGTCCGGTGAACATGCCGGCCATGGTAAAACGTGAATGTTGGCGTTTGCTAGGAAGTTCTGGGTCAGCCTTGCCGTGTGAGGCCTCGCATTATCGTGCTGGAAAATGATACCATTAGGCCGTTGTTGGATGAATGGCACCACAACTGGTTGTAAGATGTCATCACGATAACGCTGCGCATTCAGGTTTCCTCGAATAACGACGAGTCTCGTTTTGACGTCACCGCAGATTCCACCCCAAACCATTAAACCTCCGCCTCCATATGGCTTGATGGATGCAGTTCGGTGCCAAACGTTCACCTACTCTTCGGTACACACTCTGCCCGCCGTCGTTTCTGAAGATCCAAAATCTGCTTTCGTCAGAAAACATGACACGTGCCCAGTTCCACCGTTGCCACCGTCGAAGTCGCCTGGCCCATATCCGTCTGTTGAGTCGGTGTTGAGGTGTCAGGAACGCTCCGCGGTAGGGGCGACGTGCTCGGATACCATGTGCCCGCAGTCTCCTGTACACGGTTTGTCTACTTATCACGTGTCCCAGTGCCGTACGTGCCGTTAACGTCACCGTTACGAAGCGGTTCCGAAGGTGAAGTACCCGGATGTGGCGGTCTTCAATAGGCGTGGACACCCGTGATCTCCCGGTTCTCGGCCTGTCTGCTGTCCGAGTAGTATAGGTAATAGGGGTTCTGGCTCACTTCCACTGGAGCCGGATTTATATACCTATACTGCTACTACAGATGGAATTTTTTATGCTAAAATGATTATGCGATTCAACGATAGTCATGAGATTGGCTCTAGCTCACCAATACCTGAGGCCAATCATTGCTTCTATTAGTATAAAATTGATGATGCGATTCAACGAAAGTCGTTTTAAAAGAAATATCAATATTAATTAATAATGGATAAAATTTACTATAGCCCACGAGGATATTGGAAAGGTGTAGGAGCAATAAAAAAATTAGCCACCGCGGCTAAGGTATCTCAAGATGTGGCCAAGGATTGGTTAAAGAAACAAGCGATGTGGCAGATATATTTACCGGCACCGCGTTATATACCGAGGAAGAAGTTTGATATTTTTACAACGAATGAAGTTCATCAGGCTGACCTCTTGTTTCTTCCCCACGATAAGGTAAGACGCAAAACGTATAAATACGCTTTAACGGTAGTGGATGTGGCTAGTCGATACAAAGAGGCTGAGCCATTAACATCAAAAGAATCAACAGAGGTAGCTAATGCACTGAGTCGCATATATAAACGCGGACTGCTAAAATGGCCTAAGTTATTTCAAGTAGATCCCGGTCGCGAGTTTATGGGATCGGTAACTAAACAAAGAACGATGTTGAAATCGTCCGTGGTGAAAGAGAGGCCCACCGCAGTCAAGCTATCGTCGAAAGATTTAACAGGACATTAGCGGAACGTTTGTTTGGCTATCAGTATGGGATCGAAATGAAATCCGAGCGATTGAGATCAACCGAATGGGTGACACGATTACCAGCCGTTGTATCAGCGCTGAATAATGAAGTAACGAGATTAATAGGGAAGAAACCATCCGATGCTATTAAAATGAAATCCGTGACTTCCGAATCTTCAGCACCGAGGAGAGGCAAAGAACGAAAACCTCCGGATAGAGTAAGGGTAAGATATTTATACCAGGCCGGTGAACTCGAAGGAGGCCTACGTCGCGCAACCGATCCCATATGGTCCCTTAAGACATATAACATTAGTCGATTGGTTATGAAAGAAGTAGAGCCTATTCTTTATTATCTTAAAGATGGACCGGTCAGGGCATTTGTACGAGAAGAGTTGTTCATAGTTCCCGACGGTACGGTATTACCACCATAACCATAAGCATAGGTATTTACACCATCATTATCAATCCATCTCTTTGTATCTATGGGGGATAATGATGTCTTGTTCATTCTTAATCCATATATCCTATGATTGTAACTTCTTAAAGAGTTCATCTCGTGTTTGAACGTTCTACCGTTGAATAATGATTCTTTATACTGTTCGTGTTTGATATGCTTTTTTACAACATACTTCTTAACGCCCTTAGCTTTTCTTATCTCCCCATTATCAGACTTCTTTATAGAATACATCTTAGGTCTTAATCCTACATACTCCTCTTTTGGGGTCCCAGCACATTCATCCTTCATCTTACCTAATACCTTTTTATTTACAACGCTGTGCAGTGGATTATCTTTTGGGTAATCGCTCGTGTCGTACATATCTATTTTTTCTGCCATATCTTTATACACATCCTCAGTTTGTATTTCCATCAACAAAGAATCTGTGTCGGTATATAACACCTCGCATCTATCGCCGTATTGCTTCTTAAGTTCGTTGTAATAAAAGTCATACATTAAGTGTTTTGACAAGTCGAGAATACTCATACCGACGTACACCGGTCTGTTGAATTTTATATTACTCTTCTGCATATGCAACGCGGCTAAGTCGTTATCGAATATCTTGCTTCTGTTAAAAGCCGGACTGGCTATAAGTTTCCTGAGTCTTTCTTCCTCATTAGATCTGACTAATTGAACATCAACACGCTTCCTTAGATTCTCCATAGTTTTACCAAATACTGAGTTATTCATGAGCTTATATAGATTCTTTTCAAAATCGCTGGTAGCTATCTTTCTTAAATCTGTGTTCAACCTTATATAGGGCTCCATCCAAGGGCTTTGATCAAACTTTAGAACTCTGTGTATTTTCTTAAGTTTCATACCTAACGATAGATACAACTGGAGATTTCTGTAGTGAACTATATATTTTGTTTTATCCATCAAATTTGGTACGAGTTTTTCTACGTTAGCTAACCTACTATTACCCATCAAGGAGTGTTGATATTCCGACATCCAATCTTTATTAACCATTAATCTTTCGGGAGCTAGCGGATAACTGTTATGATCTTTATGTAACGAACTTGGATATTCCAAGTCAACTTCTAGTATGTACCCTTTATTCACTTCGATATTATGGATATTATTCACATTGATATCATCGACCCATTCAAAACCACCCGTGGGTAAAGGTTGACTCATAGCCCATCCGTACAAATTGTTAGCGTCGAGATATAATATGTGCATGTCGGGTTTACTGGGATCGTATCCTTCCACTAATTTATTATAAGCCTTAGAATACCTTTTAGCTGCCATCGATATACCACCTCTTAATCCTTTCTCAATAAACAAGTGCATATCATAATCTGTGAGTAATTTTAGTTCTACGCCGGTCTTCTTCAACAATGCATCCCACGATAGTCTGGGACTGGAATAGTACCCTACCGGGTCCAAGCCGTATTGTTTGAAACATGTCTTTCTAAATATCTCGAATATATCGGCGAGTAACAGTACATCGGTTTTTAAGTACAGATCGTGATAATCACCTAAATTCTTACAACCTAATTTATCCCAGACCGTCAGAGCGTGTTCATAATCGGCATCTGTTATTCTAGATTCTGTTAAGTTACTATAGAATGATTCGAGGGGTGGTAATTCAGTTTCTTCGAATCTAGACCAATCATCCATATATTCGTAAGGATATACACCTTTTCTCAGCAACAAATGACGTGTTATCTTATCGGTATATTTATTTGTTATCGCAAAGTCATCGGGATTGTTCGCATTAGCTAAATTGTCCAGGGAAGATAACAGAAACTGTACGGAGTCTATGAATCTAAGCCCATTACTTTGCTTTGTTCTAGATTTCCCATCCTTGTGCCTATAATGTATAGGTTTAGTCAACGAGAACGATATGTATTTTTCCATATTGTTAGGAATGCACGTTAAACCACCGTCGGTCTTCGAGATAGCTTGCATAATGAGATGTGAATCGTATCCCCTAAGGTTATGAAACACAACGGGGATGGGTATTGTTTGAGAGTTCATTTTTAGTTTCAAGTTACACTCGTTATGAGCGGCTCCCCGATAATTACCCGTGACGTGACATTGA